GGTGGGGCCAAAGGGCTTGTTTCCGTGCCGTATGCCTCACTCCCACGTACACCAACTCACCCCCTCGCCCTCTGGCATCCTCTCCTCTCTCTGCAGCCCCCCCCACCTCCCTGACGGACCATGCGATTGGGAGCCCTGCTAGCTGCCGCCGCCAAGCTCCCTCGTGGCTACCGGCACGGCATGAGCCGGCCCTGGACGGTGGCCGCCCAGAGGATGAACCCTCCGGGTCGCCAGCGGAGAAAGGTGTTTGTGGAACCCCTAGCTCAGGACGAGTGGAAGATCTTCCGAGGGGATACGGTAAGGCTTAGCGGAGAGGAACACAGGCTCGGGTGGCGATTGTCGGCATCTCGTTATTTGTGACTCCGACTTGGGGTGGGGAGAGTTGGAGGGAAGGTCGCAGTTATCTCCTCCCTCATTACAACAGCTGGCAGACCAGAATGGGCCTGGTGGCAATGTCAGAATCCTAGTCTGGCACAGCAGATGAGTCAAGGGTTAGGAGAGGGTGCTGCGGACTTTCACAGCAAGACCTTGCATTAATATAGTGCCATTTTTCATAGTGAAACGCCTCACAGGAGGGCCGGAGAAGGTGACAGAGATAGGGAGGGGGCGCAGGGGCCAGAGACAGTGGGGAGGGGGTGCAGGGGCCGGAGTTAGGGAGGAGGGGTGAAAATCTATAGTTGAAGTGGTTTATAAAAAGTTTGTGATCACTGATGGGATGAGGATGCCCCTGGCTGGGCAGGATTCAAACACGGGTCCCCAGGACACTACCTGCTTCTTTGAATTATCTGTCCAGCGATAATACCATGTGGCCATTACCTCCCCATTCAGGTCTGGGAAATGGTGGGTTATAAGTGAACGAGGTGGGTTTCAGGATGAGATGAAATTGCCGCAGACCGGGAGCGTGTTGGAATGGCTGGGCTATGTAATTTTTGCCAGAACAGGACCTGGGGGACAAAGGACTGGGAAGAAGTCTGGATCATTCTCCTCGGAATAGGAGACGGTTAAGAAAGAGAGTGAATCGAGGCATGCCAGATTGCGAGGGGCTGTTCTGATCGAGGGTAATGTGGATCAGGCACCAGAGGGAGGGAAGTCAGGGATCAAACAGATTCGAAAACAGAGCCAGGAGACCCTGCTGCCTTTCGTGAGTTGGAAGAATTTTTTTTGGTCATCAGTTCCCAGTATTGGACTCGATCCCGAGGCTTCAGGGCCAGATTCAAGAACGCTACCCACTGCACCACAGGGAGAGATATGTTTTGTGCAAGTCGTGGGAGTGGGGATAACAATTGCAAAAGGCTGGCAGTGGCGGGAGTGGGTGAATGGCCTCCTTCCAGCTGTGGACAGATTGATCTCAGCCAATGATTTCCCCTCCCCTGGTTATATATGCAGGAGACTGGGGGAGATTGGTGTTGCATTTTGATAAAACGAACAAGGGCAGGACTTGTACAATTAAAGATCAGGCCATGGGGAGTGTTGTAGAACAGAGAGACCTAGGGGTTCAGGTACGTAATTCTTTGAAGTTTGCGTCACAGGTAGACAAGATGATTAAGAAGACATTTAGCACGTTTGCCTTCATTGCTTAGACCTTTGAGTATATGAGTTGGGACGTCATGTTAAGGTTGTACGGGACATTGGTGAGACCTCGCCTGGAGCAGTGTCCGGTTCTGCTCATCCTATTATAGGAAGAATATTATTAAATTGGAGTGAGTTCAGAAGAGACTTACCAGGATGTTACCGGGACTGGAGATTTTAAGCTCTAGGGAAGGGCTGGATAGGCTGGGACTTCTTTTCACAGGAGCGTAGGAGGTTAAGGGATGGCCTTATAAGGATTTATAAATTTGTGAGGGGTATAGAGAAGGTGAATGACAGGTGTCTTTTCCCTAGGTTGGGGAATTTCAAGAACGGGGCTTGTATTTTTAAGGTGAGAGGAGAAAGATTTAAAAAAGATATGGCAGGCAACTTTTTTACAAAGAGTAGTTCGTCTGTGGTATGAGAAAGTGGTGGATGCAGGTATAGTTACAACGTTTAGAAGATGTTTGGATAAGTACGTGAGTAGGAAGGATTTAGAGGGATACGGACCAAGCGCAGGTAGGTGGGATTGGTTTGGTTTAGGATTATGGTCAGCATGGACTGGTTGGTCCGAAGGGTCTGTGTACATGTTGTATGACTGTGATTACTTTGGAAACCCCCACCTCCCCCTCACTCCGTGACAACGTTCTACTGTGCTTCTTCCGGACTAGGTGGAGATTCTCAAGGGCAAAGATGCTGGGAAACAGGGAAAGGTCAGCCAGGTGATTCGAGCTCGGAACTGGGTGGTTCTGGAGGGACTCAATACGGTGAGTGGGGGGTGCAGGGCATCTCTGAAATGCCTGGGGGGCTTAAGTGAAAGATCTCTCCCATCGGCACATTTGCCAACCCCATCACTGGCCTCCCTTGTGGATCACAGGCAGTGATTAATGGAGCACCCTTGGGTGTCTTGGGGCTGTCACTGTTCTCAGAGGTCAGGTCGTTGAAAGTTCGAAATCCGGGTAGCTTTTATTGAATTCATTCAAGGGATTTGTGCACCCTGCATTTATTACCCATTCCTGATTGCCCAGAGGACAGTTAGAGTCAACCAGTTTGCCGTGGGTCTGGAGTCACATGGAGGGGACACCAAGTAAAGATGGTAGATTTCCCTCCCTGAAGCACATTAGGTGGCTTTTTCCTGACAATCGACACGGTCGTCAGTCAAGTCTTAATTCCAGATTTTGAATCAAATTCAAATTCCACCATCTGCCATGGCAGGATTCGAATCCGGGTCCACAGATCATTACTGGGTCTCTGGATTAGCAGTCCTGTGATAATACAGCAAATCCGTGAATTCACCTATCCGCGCCAAAAAATGCCCAACAAAAATCAACATCTGGTGCCGAAAAATATCCGCAGTTTTTAACAGAGATCCGCGCTCGCAAATTTCATCGTCTGCAGGATACGGAGGGATGACTCGATTTGCCTCCCGATTTCTAATCAGAAGGTCACATTGCCACATTCATGCTCCGTAAGCAGAGTATGGGCCGACACTGCCGGTACGGTACTGAGGGAGTGCAGCACTGCCGTGTCTGTCTGTGACATGGCTCATTCAACCTGGGGTTGTTGGAGTGGATGCGTGTTTTTTGGGGTGGGGGGGGTGTTGTGTCAGATGGCGTTGGTGGGTGTGGGGTCCTTCTGTGCCATCGTTAATCCTTCCCGTTCTCCCACCCCATTCGCAGCATTACCGCTACGTTGGCAAGATGGGAGAGCACCGGGGAACGTACATTGCAAGTGAGTCACCACTGTTGATCCATGACGTGTCACTAGTGGACCCCAGCGACAGGTATGTTCGCGCCTGGGGCTGACTGGCGCTCTCTTTTGGGGGGGATGGAGGGGGTGAGGGGATCATGCCGACTGGGAACGAATGTCTCCTCCCAACTTTCTGATCTGTTCCCTTCCCCTAACCCATGTAGGAAGCCAACAACAGTGGACTGGCGGTATACAGAAGAAGGAGAGAAGGTCCGGGTATCCACCCGCTCCGGGAGAATCATTCCCAAACCAGTGTTTCAGAGGAGAGACGGGATTGTGCCAGAACAGTGGAAAGGCAAGTTGTTCTCCCCCCATCCCCTTCCTGGTCAATACAACACCTCGCTCATCCTTTATCATATTGCAAAGTTAAAGCCATCCCTCTTGTCTGTCAGACTAAGCTCAACAATCCCTTCTATCTCTGGGATAAATGACCATGTTCCTCCTGAGAATTTACTTATTTTCTTAGCAACGTTGTTAAGTGCCTGAGGACTCTAGTGGCAGTAACTGGGTGTTCGCAGAGCCCTTCAGGCATCGATGCTTGCTATGCAGAACCAGACCAAAACTGTGACTCCGGGACACTTTAGGGATGGGTGACTAAGAGCTCAAAGTGGTTTTGGAAAAAGTGAATTGAAGGGAGAGGGAGGGGGAGCAGGGGTGATGGGGGATGCTCGAGAGGCCGGAATTAGAGGAGCACAGAGATGTTGGTGGGTTGTAGATTACAAAGATCGGGAGGGGGTGCAGGGGCTAGAGGTAGTAACGGGGATCGGGAGTGGGGTAGGGGCTGGAAGAGGTGATAGAAGAATGCTTGCCAGGGTTTTGGGTAATGACAGAAATTGGGAAGAATGTAGTGGAGCTGTCCCTGTCCTGGGAATGTTTGATGAGTACCATGTAAAGGGAGCTTTACTGTGTATCTAACCCTGTGCTTTCCCTGTCCTGGGAGTGTTTAATTGTGGGGGGACAGTGTAGAGGAAGCTTTACTCTGTATCTAATCCTGTGCCCTCTGCAGCAGCATCCTTACTAATTCTCCTGTTGTGGTTGTGCTCAGATGGGCCAAAGGACACCAGTGTTGAGGATGCACTGGAGAAGACATTCACACCCATTCTGAAGACCTTTGAGGAAGACGTGATGGAGAAAATGGGAATAAACGAAAGCAGCAGGCCTCGGAGATCATACTGGTACTGAGCACCTGCAGGACACATGCTGGTGCCCAGGGGAGCTAAACAGGAAGAGACAGACTACATCCAGTCACACAGGGAATGGGCACTTCACCCTAGAGTTAGCCGTATTTAATTAATACTGTCAAATAAAAGGATTTATTTTCATTGTTCCTGTCTTTATGTGGCCTTTTTTCAGGAACAAACAAGCCACTACTTCCAACTTGCTGGGGATCTCTGATTATTTACCAGCTGAGATTTCAGTGGGACACAGAAGCCATTCCTAATGTCAATGCAGACTCGATGGGCCAAACAGCCTCATCATAATTCAATGATCAGCTCAAACTCAGTGCTGTTCATCCCGGGGAAAAGTTGACCAAGTGCTTTAGTATCCTGTCTCAAAACTTCTGGAAATACAAGTTGCTTCTGTGCACCCAGTCCTGGGAGTTGAACCACTTTCAGCCCTCACCTCATTCTCATTAATCTGTTTCTTCTCAGAGGTTATAGAGTCATAGAGGTTTACAGCACGGTAACAGGTCCTTCAGCCCAACCTGTCCGTTTTTCTCAATTAAACTAGTCCCATTTGCCTGTGTTTGGTCCATATCCCACCACACCTAGCCCATCCATCTACCTGAGAAACTGTACTCTCCTCCACCACTACCTGGAGCCTGTTCCAGATACTCACCACCCGTTGTGTGAAAACATTACCCCTCTGGACCCTTTTGTATCTCTCCCCTCTCACCTTAAACCTACGGTCTCTAATTTTAGACTTCCCCAACCATGGGGAAAAGCTGTTGGCTAGCTACCTTATCTATGCCTCATGATTTTATAGAGCTCTATAAGGTCACCCCTCAGTCTCCTACACTCCAGGGAAAGAAGTTCCAGCCTCTCGTTATAACTCAAACCTTCCAGTCCAGGTGGCATACTAATAAATCTTTTCTGCACTCTTTCTAGTTTAATAACATCCTTTCTACAGTAGGGTGACCAGAACTGTACACAGTACTCTAAATGTGGTCTCACCATCTTGTACAGCTGCAACAAATATTATATTCTTTTTGAGATCTGCAGCCCACAACTGAATGCAAAAGGCTTTATGTACGTAATCCTTTTATTTTAAATTACTTGTGGGCATCGCTGGCTGGGCCCAGCATTTATCACCCCTCCCCAGTTGCACTTGAGAAAGTGGTGTGAGCTCCTTCTTGAACCACTGCACTCCACATGCTACGCGGACCCAAATATCACTCCATCATCTCGTGGCCAAGGCTGAGGTGACATTTCGTTTTGTGCAGGCTTTTCTGATCACATTTTGGAGGGGTGCAGTTAATAGTCGACCTCACTGCTGTGGGATCTGGAGTCACGTGTAGGTCCAGACCGGGTAAGGACAGCAGATTTCCTTCTCCCTTTAATGAATTTCAACAACAGTTCAGTAGTTTCATCATGATGGCTGCGGAGACTGCAGTTTTAATTAAGTATTTAAATTTTTCTGTCTGCGGAGGTGGGATCTGAACTCCTGTCTGAGGATCTGAATTACTCGCAGAACCACTACATTAAATGACCCAGACTGACCTACTTTGTATTCCAGCTCAACAGGTTTTGGGGGAATGGGAACCGTTGTTCTCCATCTCAACTCTGACTGAGGAAATGTTCCTGTTTGCATGTCTTTGTTGCAGGAGTTATCATGTCAGGCTGTCACAGAAAGAGTCCACACAGGCTAAGTTCACACCATTTCTCTCCAGCTGTACCCACATCTCCATTGAAGCCAGGGGTCAGTTTGCTCTCAAAGTCACTCTCAACGCTGCCACTAAACACTGAAGGAATCTGATCCGGGATGTCATTGTCACATGTAGACACAGAGACAGGGAATTGTCTCCTGGGTTAGTCGAAGTTCTGGACACAGTGGTCAGTCACACCCGGCACCATCTTCCAGGCAGGTAAGGAGGTCGCTGACTCGCCTGACACCCTTGGCTGCCACCAGCACAAAGTTCCTGGGCGAGAAGGTGGGGTCAAACAGCGGGATTACCTCGCACTGAAAGCCTGCCACGAGAATTTAAAACACTGTTCAGACAGTACTGTGGGAGAAACGTACAACATAGGAGCAGCAGTAGGCCATTCGGCCCCTTCCAGCCTGCTCTGTCCATTCAACATGATCACGGCTGATCATCCAACCCATTCCTTCACTCCTGCTCTCTCCTCCATAACCTTTGATCCCTTTAGCCCTAAGTTGGGTAAACTATTTAACTAATTCCTCTGTGGGGTGAGTGAAGAGACCAGAACAAGGTGGCCCTGTTACAGGAAGGGCATTATCAAGCTGAAGAGGGTTCAGAAAAGATTTACCAGGATGTTGCCAGGGATGGACAGTTTGCGTTATAGGGACTTTTTTCACTGGAGTGTAGGATGTTGAGGGGTAACCTTATTGAGGTTTATAAAATCATGATGGGTATAGATAAGGTGAATGGCAGGAGTCTTTTTCCCTAGGGTGGGGATTTCAAGACTTGGGGGTGTATTTTTAAGGTGAGAGGAGAAAGATTTAAAAAAAGACATAAAGAGAAATTTTTTCTTTACAGAGAGTGGTTTGTATGTGGAATGAACGTCCACATTTGGTGCTTGCGGGTACAGTTAATAATGTTTAAAAGACGTTTGGATAAGTACATGAATACGAAATGTTTGGAGGGATATGGGTCAAATGCAGGCAAGTGGGACTAGTTTAGTTTGGGAACATGGACTGGTTGGAGCAAAGGGTCTTTGCCTGTGCTGTACGACTCTGAGAGACTTCAGTCACGTGGGCAGATGGGAAAGGTTGGGCTTGTATACCTCGGAGGGGCGGAATAGTGGGTCAAGGGGAGATTTGATCAAGGAATTAAAAATCATGGGGTGGTCCAGATGGAGTTGGGGGTGAGGGAGGTTGTCTGGATGGATGGATTTGGGGGGAATCCAGCAAACCATTCCCATAGCGGGAAGGATCAAAAACAGGAGGGAGTCAGAATTAAGGTGAGAGGTGAAGAAGCAATGGTGGTGGCTGGAAAAATTGTCGCCAGTGGTCAGATCCAGGAATGTACTGCCTCTCAATGTGTGGTGTAGAACAGATACAATCCAGGCGCTTGAAAGGGAATTGGTTTATGATTTATTTTCATTTTTTCACTCATGTGCATCATCAGCATTTACCGCCCATCTCAAATAGCCCGGGGGGGCAGTTTAGACTCAACCCCGTCACTTTGGGCCTGGGGTCACAGCCTAGACTGGATCAGGACAGGAGATTACCTTCCCTGAAAGAGGTCACGTGTGGTTTGCTGCATGGTCACCACGAGGCTGCCTTTTAACTGCAGATTAAATAGACCCTGTAGACTGTTTGCTTGCAGACTGAAATGCAGACATCCAGTTTTAGCTTTTTATTCCAGTACTGGACCGAATTTGAATTTTGCCACTGGCTGTGGAGGGGATTCAAACCCACGTCTCCAGAAATGTGATCTGAGCCTGGTGACATTACCACTAGCCTGCTCGGAAGAGGATGGATCTGCAGCAGAGGGGTGGGGGTGGAATTTGGAATAAATGGTGCCCACAGAGAGCTAGCATAAGCGAGATGGGCTGTATGGACACGTCTTAGAGTTGGTCTCCAATTGGATGAGACAAGTTTCTCTCAAACTCCCAATTGGGTTTATTAGTGATCATTTTACACTTTGTAATTGTGGGACATGGGCATCGCTGGCTGGCCAGCAATTTATTGCCCAAACCCGACTGATGGGTCAATGAGCCCCATATCACCCCTCAACTCAGGGGTGAACATATCTCATCTCAGAGGCGACCCTTTCAAGTTCCCGATTTAACGAGACAAACCCCACCCGTCAGGGAAAGCTAACCACCCTCACCCCCTCCTCACCTCGCTCCTTCAGGTAGATTACTCGGTCCAGGAGGATGAGGGTCTCGATCGCTGGGGCCAGCACCAGGCCGAGGCAGAAATAGGCCACCACCTTGGCCTCCTGTGCCAGCATCGAGCTCACCAGGTCGGAGTCCCACTGGGCATCAGCGTCCAAGCCCAGTTTGCTCAGGCCAGCCCGGGCATAGCTTGGGGTGGGGGTTGAGGGGGGGTAAAGAAGAAAATCATAGAGTCATAGAATTCCTGCAGTGTGGAAGCATTTGGCTCATTGAGTCCACGCTGACCCTCTGAAGAGCATTATCCCTTTAATCCTACATTTCCCATGGCTAACCCATCAAACCTGCATATCGCTGGGCACTACAGGACAATTTAGCACGGCCAATCCATCCTAACCCGCACATCCCTGGGCACTACAGGGTAATTTAGCACGGCCAATCCACCCTAACCTGCACATCCCTGGGCACTACGGGACAATTTAGCACGGCCAATCCACCCTAACCCGCACATCCCTGGGCACTACAGGGCAATTTAGCACGGCCAATCCACCCTAACCTACACATCCCTGGGCACTACGGGGCAATTTAGCATAGACAATCCACCCTAACCTGCACATCTTTAGACTGTAGGAGGAAACGCACGCAGACATTGGGGAGAACGTGCAAACTCTACATGGAGAATTGCCTGAGGATGGAATTGAATCCCTGGCGCTATGCTACTGAGCCACCGTACCAGCTGAGAAGAGAGTCGGGAGCTGGGCGTGAGCGAGACAGAATTCAGGTATGGGTCGGAGGAGGACCTCACAGCCTGTAATGCTCTCGTCACGCAAGCCTAGCACTAGCTTCCACACCAACACCCCCCTCCCACCAACGTTCCTCTCCAGGCCAGTGACCTTTGAAAGCTTCTGTGTAAAGGCCCACCCCCATCTGATCCATCTCCACATGGAGAAGGGGTTTGGTGGGAATGATGATGGAGCTTTGCTACATTATACTACAATCGGTGTTGAAGGTTATCAATTGCTCAACCCAATATCCCACCCCCGCCTCCCAATCTACATCACAGGCAAGCTGCAGGAGGCGATCCCATTAAACTGATGCAGTCCTTGGGCTGCAAGGACACCTGCAATTTCCCTCCAGGTGGAGTTCCAGCATTTTGACCCAGCGGCACTTAATCAACGGCCGGTAGGGTTAAATCTCTCCCCTCCCCAGTGTCACCGATTCAAACCCCAGCCTTCCTCCTCAAATTTCTCTCAAATGTGACAATCCTTTGCTCACATTTTCTCTTTGCCACTGTATTGTGTGTGAGAGAGACAGGGAGAGTGACAGTGAGAGACAGAGTGAGAAACAGAGTGTGAGTGAGAGAGACAAAGAGTGTGATGAGAGACAGACAGAGACAGTGTGTGTGAGTGAGAGAGAGCGTGAGAATGAAAGAGAGTACGAGTGAGAGAGACAGAGTGAGTGAGAGACAGTAAGAGAGTAAGTGAGTGAGTGTGTGTGTGTGTCTGGGGAGAGGGGCAAGCACCACGTTTTATTTTAAATTGCGTGATGTTGCCTGTCAACACAGGATAAGGAAGTGAGTGGGATTTTCTTACTCTTCAAACGAGAGGAGGTGAGCATTCCTGGGTGTCTGCACTCCGGCACGTTTGAGTGAGGGGTTGATCTGCCTGATGATGGTCTCAAGGGTGGCGCGGTAGCAGTGTACCCTCAGCCCAGTGCTCTGCCGTCTCAGCCGGCCTGCGTAGTCCTCAATAGCATGGCATGCCAGCTCTCGCAGTTTGTAGGGCAGCCCGTGCTCAGGGAGCCCCCGCACCCAAGCACTCATGGGGTACCCGTTCTCAGCGGCACCCCCGGTGGTGGCCTTCATGTAGCAGCAGGAGACGGCGGTGACCCCCAGCACCCTGGGGCACCCGGCAAACTGGCGCAGGGCAGTGGGGCCTAGGTCCCCACAGGCGTGCAGCCCCGTCAGCACAAAGGGGCTCCCCTCCCCTTCCGACCTTGGGTCGCCCTCCACCACCAGCAGCTGGAGCAGGTCGTGCCCCGACCCCCCACTGCCAACACGGCCGACCAGGTGACGGGGGAGGGGGTGGCCAGCAGTCTTATCGTCTGGGACATCTCCACCACCCTGCAGGAGAGAGGGAGAGATTCGGGTCAATGTCCCGTGGGCCTGTAACTCTTATAGAAAGCCGCGCACGCACACACACACACCTGAAACCAGGCATCTAGCACCAGAGCAACCCCTTCCCCCCCCCGCAACCCAGCCTTCGATGGGATACAGATCCAGGCATCTTGCTGCTTTAGAGGAGGTGTAATGTGCCGATAGGCCCACCCCTGCACCATCCCCCCTCCCGGTTGTTGGCAATGCCCAGTGCATCGCCAAGGTTGCAACTGCTTTAAATGACCTTTTCCCGCCTGGACAAGACAGACCTCGCTACAAAAGCAAACCTGGACAGCAGACTTGCACACCCCTCCCCGCCCCCCCCACCCCCCCCAACTTCCTGCGTTTCCCCCACTTCCCCCCCCCAACTCCCCAAAACCCCGAAAGCACCTCCGATTTCTTTGCGGCTTCCTTCTGCAGGCTCAGCAGCAGTTCTCTGTCAAACTTTCTGGCTGTAGCGACCAGCTCCTCTCCGGCTTCCACCCCGGTGAGGTGCAGCCCGTGTCCGAATGCAAGGTAGCGGGACAGGTGACCCTAGGAGCGGGGGCGGGGGTAAAGGATGGAAGAAAGGGACAGCGTCACACAGAGTGCTCCATCCACTGCCTCTCCTGCAACTGTTAGAATTCGTCTACGGGACACGACCCTCAATGGCTTGGGTCCACATTTACTGTCCATCAATCCAAACCATAGCCAAGGTCAAACACGTCTGGTTCTCTTAACGCCCTTTAGGGAAGCAAATCTGCCATCCATACACGGTCTGGGCTTACATGTGACTCCAGATGCACAATGTGGTTGACATTTAACAGCCCTACGGGCAAGTAG